TCTTGGGCTAATACTTTCCTTGTGTCTTTGGTGTTCTTCATTCTCCTTTACTCCAGATGGTTGGGACCAACTGATGCATCTTAGATGGCCACTAGCAAACTTTTAAGACCCCAGATGCCACTCACCAAAGTAGGTCCATCCCAAATTTTGACTATCTTATGTGCCAGCAACCAATCTGTCTTTATGCAATGTCACCACCTCCTGGCCAAAACGGAGAGATGTCTAAAGCAACAGCTTTCTACACTTTCTTCCCCCTTAACAAAACTACAGTTAAACTCTATTTCTTCCTGTATGTTTCTTTTAAGAGCTCTATATATTCTTCCATAGGCGATCATTCCCTCTCTATCCATATTATCTTAAATGAAACATGTGCAAATGAATCCAACTGTTATGAAATACAGTAGAGTCTCAAAAAATGTTAGTGCCCTTCCTCATCTTCTCACTTTATCTTCCTTACTCTTATGATTCTTACCCAGTTATCTTCCTCCCTCTCGTTATTGAATTTGAGTCAGAAAATTACCGTATTCATTCTCTGTGGATGAGTATGAGCTATATTAGTGATGCCCTCAAGAATGCCCCACATTATCCCTAACATAGGACAGAAGGTCTCTCTTTAGATTACTCCAAGCTTTTTAAAATTGACAGACAATACATTTACGTACATGAAGGAAAATTCCCTGGCTTTCTTTCGAATTCTTTTGAAATATAAGGGCACACTTTTATGGGAAAGAGGGATGGTCTTTAAGTGTTGCTGTCTTCCATTCAAGTCCAGGAAGAATAGATCCTTGCCTATCCCTAGAAATGTTATCTGCACAGACTGTACTGCCCTATCAAAAAAATATTTCAAATGACAGTTAGGTTTCATGGCAAGGCACCTAAAGTCCATTTAACTACTATTTCATCTACCTCACAGAATTAAAAAACACACTTAGGGGCCTAATTCAGAAATCTAACTGTCCAATAAACCTAAAGGAAAACAAACAAACAAAAACTCCACTGCCAATGAATAGATTCTAACTCATGGCAACCCTATGTGCTACAGAGTAGAACTGATCCATAGGGTTTTCTTGCTGTAATTCTAATGGAAGTAGATTGTCAGGTCTTTTCTTCTGTTGTACTTCTAGGTAGGTTCAAATCGCCATCCTTTTAGGTTAGCAGTCGAGGGCAAAACATTTACGCCACCAAAGTATATCCTACAATTTTTTAAAAAATATTTTATTGTGTTTTAGGTGAAAGTTTACACAGCAAATTAGGTTCCTATTTATCAGTTTTTGTACAAGTTGTTCTGTGACATTGGTTACAATTTTTGCAATGTGTCAATATTCTTACTATTTTCATTGTTTGTTCTATTTCCATTGTCGAGTTTCCCCGTCCCTCCTTGCCTGCTCATCTTTGCTTTGGGTAAATGTTGATCACTTGGTCTTGTACAGTTGATTGTTTATGGAAGCACATTCCTTATGGATGCTACTGTTTATTTTATAAGCCAATTTATTAATTGGCTGATGGGAGAGATCCAAGAGTGGCCTCAGTTCCAAGTTAGAAGGGTAGATTAGTGTGATAATCTCAGGGGTTCCTCTAGTCCTAGCTGTTCATTATGTCTGGTCTTTTTCAGAAAGTCTGGTCTTTTGCAGAAATTTGAGTTTTGTTCTACATTTTTCTCCTATTCTATCCAGGACCTTCTACTGTGTCCCTGGTCAGAATGGTCAGTAGTGGTAGCCGGGTACCATCTAGTTCTTCTAGTCTCAGGCTGGAAGAGATCATGGTTCGTACGGGCTTTAGTCCTATGGACTAGTTTCTTTCATTCTCTTTTGCTCCAGACAGGAAGAGACCAATAGTTGTATCTTAGATAGTTGCT